TGAGGAAGGAGGATTACAAATTCAAGGCCAGGCTGGGTAACTTAGTGAGACACTGTCCCCAAAAACTAAAAAGGACTTAGTGCTAACTCACCTGTCTATGGGACTTCAGGCAAGTCACCTCATCTATATGACATCACAGTTTCCTTATCTATAAAGTGAGTGGTGGAACTAGAAAACCTCAGGGTCTCTTCTGGCTTGAGAGTAGCCAAGTGCCTTATTGATAATACTTACTTTATAATGAATCCGCTTTCATTCATTTCCACAATGGCATAACAAATGCTGAGACCCATTACATCTACTGAGAAAAAAAGACTCATATTGAAAGTTTGTCCCTGTAAATTAGGAGGAATAATAAATGAAAATCAGAAATCAAAGAAAACCCTTTCTAAGTAAGGGGCACATTATCAGAGGCCACATATTCTGCCACTGAAGTCTGGAGGAGCAGGAGGCAACCACAGGCAGGCAGATGATTCCCAGATCCTGGAACCAGCTTTGCCAGCCACTCAAGTGGCATCAGTCTTACCCACATCAGGTTCTTCAGCTTTAAAAGAGAGAATTAAAGTGAATGAATGAGTTCTGGAAAAGTGGGTACAGCCTCCAAATTGAAGCTTGATGACATCAGTAAGAAGCATGTTTAGTTACACCCTTCTCTTCCCTGATCATTTACTTCCTGTTCTCCAAACTCACAGACAACTTTAATTTGGTTTGCAAGAATTTCAATTCACAAAGACACTTTGCAATCAATTGCTGCTCCCATTCATTCTACATTTCACCTATGGTGAGACAGGCACATTGGAAAAGGAGCTGAACAAATAATTGAATTACTGGAAACATTTTATGAGATTTAACAAAGACTTTTGGGGATAGAAAACAAAGTAAAACCAACCTAGTCCTTTTTACTTTATTGAAAGTTAAGTAGGTAATTGGTTTCACAATTTCTTTGTTTTGGCTTAGCTATTAACTATCCAGATGTTCATCTCAAATTCATACTTTACAATTATATCTTAGTCATTTACTGAAGGGACTTCAAAAGCCTTAAATAAACTCTAGCTTCCCAAGTAAATGTCAAGCCAGCCTGCCCTCACTCCCTCCCTACTTCCTACCCTCCTTACTTGCCTCCTCTCTTTACTTTTAGAACTAGCTCTGAGGAAATTTACTGTCACAATTACTTTTATCATCGCTGAGATAAAATACTTGACTCTCACAAGTTGGAAGAGGAAAGGTTTATTTTGACTCACAATTTGTAGAGAATTCAGTCCACAGTAAGCTGGCTCCAAGGCAGGGTGGCATGGCAGAGGGGTGTCACAGAGGAGAAACAGTTCATGGCTGGCAGAAGGCAGCAAAGTAGCAGCAGCAGCAGCCTCCCTTTCCCTTCATCTCATCCAGGCTACAAGCCTTTTGGGTGGTGCCTGCCACACCCAGGGTGGGCCTTTCTATTATCCACACCTAGAGTAATGCTATGCCAATCAGTGGACTAATCTAGTTATTACACTTTCAATCCATATTCACACACCATAATCCACAATCACACTCCCTAGATCCAGACACTTCCAAAAAGCCCCACCTATGAGAGCAAGAGGCTTGAGGGGGACAGCTAGATAAAAGCTATAACATGTATAAAAGCATTTGTTTTCAGCAACCTTGTTATTCCTACCATTCAGTGTCTCTCTTTCAAATACTACACTCTACCCAAGTGTATCAGTTAGCTTTCCATTTCTGTAACAAAATATCTGTAATGCTCAGTGCATAAAGAGGAAAAGTTTATCTTGGCTCACAGTTTGGGAGGTTTAGAACAGTTAGAAAAACCTACTGGCTTTGAGCCTGTTGTGAGACACCATATCACAGTGGGAAATGTGTAATAGAACAAAGCCATTGACTTCCTGGCCAAAACAGAGAAAGGCAGAAACCAGTGTTGCACAATATCCTTCAAGGACACCCCCACAACCTATTGACTGGAAGGTCTCCCACTAAGGCCCAGTTTTTAAAGTTTCCACCATCTCACAATAGCACCAAGCTGGGAGGAAAGCCTTCAACACACAGACTTTGGGAAGGTATGTAAGATCTACACTATAGCACCAAGCTACACTGAATCTTCTCTGAAATGGCTCCATTTCCAAACCTGTCCCCTGACTACTCAGGCTTCTCAATCTTTTTGTCCTACTAACATCATCTTTCCCCTTTAGTCTTGGAAGTAGTAGGCTGGTTTCTCCTGGCAAATTCATTTCAGGAAGAGGTTAATGTTCAGGGTTCCTTAAAAGTGATGAACCCAGAGACATATGTAATTCTTATCACATAATGCTCATATGGTAGCCACTAGCTGAATGTGGCTGTTTAATTTTAATTACTATTAACACAGAAAGTTCTACTCAGTGCTGCCTTAACAAAGAAATTTATTGTAACAGCGGATTGTGAATGAAACCATTATTTCTACGAGAAACTCTACCTGTGCTAAAAATGAATATACTTAAGCACTGTAGGTGTACAATCAGGATTTGGGTCAGGAGGGACTGGATGAGGGAAACATGACTGTTCTCTATTATATACCAGGGTGTGGGCAGAGGTAGCCAAATAGAAATAAAATGGAGAGGCATTCTCTTTTCATATTAGCAGGGAATATTTCAGTAACCCACTTTACAGATGAGCAGAGACTAAAGAGACTAATTTGTCCAAAATTTTATATCTAGAATGTAAAATCAAGTCTGTTTGTATTACAGGATTCTGTTTACTATGCCATGCTACTGGTAAATTTGTCACAAAAGAAAAGCAGATAGGACTAGCAGCCATAGTTCTTCAAAACATACTAGTTTTCCTCCAAAGCAATGCTCAAAGCAGTGTCAATGTAGATCAATATATATTTATTAATTTTTAAATTTTGAGACAACTGTAGTTTCACATTCAGCTATAAGAAACAGAGCTATCTTGTGTGCCATTAAATATATTGGGGGGGGGGTTGGTACCAGGGATCGAACTCGGGACCTTGCACTTTCAAGGCAGGCAGCAGAACCACTGAGCTAAATCCCCGGCCCAACCATTAAATATTTTTAAATCTACTATATTCTAGATACTTCCTTGGTCCTGGAGCCACAGAGACAAGATTGTCCTTACACTTAAGGATGCTAACAGGGCCGTGCAAAGTGGCACATGCTTATAAGTTCACCATTTTGGGAGTCTGAGTAGGAAGATTGAAATTTCAAGTCCCACCTGGGGAACTTAGCAAGACCCTCTCTCAAAAGAAAAAATTTTAAAAGGGCTGGAAATACAGCCCAATGTGAAAGCCTCAAGTTCAATACCTAATACTGGGGTGAAAGAACCTAATGGGGAACACAAAAATGCATCATTAGAGTTGGTTAAAGCAAAAATGTAATACTATTTTTACCAATCATTTAGCAAATAAAAATAAAGTACTGTAATGACATTCTAGCTAAGCAACTATAAAATAGACACTTAACTTCTCTCTGCCACAGTTTTCTGGTCCATAAAGTGGGAGTAACCAATAGCACCATATATTATAGGGTTGGTGTAACTATTAACCTGGTGCAGTATCTGAGCATTTTAGTTATTATTAATATTGTATTATCATTAGCATTCTCTTGTCCATTCCAAAATTGCTCTTATGCAACTTTCACATAGGAAAGAGTTTAGTTACTCTAGGGCTGGGGATTTAGCTCAGTGGTTCCGCTGCCTGCCTTACAAGCTCAAGGTCCCGAGCTCAATCCTGGTACCAAAATAAATAAATAAAGTTTAAAAATAAAGAGTTTAGTCACTCTTTGTTAAAATAAATATCTCACGTTGTAGGCTAGTGGTACATACTATCTTAAATAAGAACACTGAGAAGGGACAGCCAGTCCACCTTGGAGAAATAGGGAAATCTCAGAAAAGGATCACTCAAAGGAAGACGTCTTCTGAACTGACTTTCAAAGACTAAGGATTCAAGGAGAAGAATTCAAGGTAAATGAAATATTAAACAAAAATCCAAAGCAAGGTGTCCACACTGGTCACTGGGGTGTGAGTCACTTAAGTGTGATATATCAAGGCCACAGTACTCAGTCTACTGCACATTGTGGTGTTGTGCTCAGATTGGAGATATCTTATAAACATTATCGAAATTGTGTTATTTTTAAGTGCAGTGACCCTGAGAGTGTTGAAAGTTTAGGTAAGAAGTAGCATATCATTTCAGTGAAAAGAGAAGTAATTAAAAATATAAAAATGGTGATACTTTTTATGATAATTGGTCCTGAAGAGAAAAAATAAATGTATGCAACATGTGAAAATTATGATGATGATACTCAGCACAAAACAAAAAAAGTTGGAAACAGGAAAAAGGTGAAGTACATGTCTGGAGAAACAGTATTCATATTGTATGCTGACAGGAGAGCACTAGAGGTACATTTAGGAACTAAAAGGCTGAGCCTGGTAAGAAGCTTTATCATAAGCCTGTGAGTCTGAGGCCCTATTGCAAGCTAAACCACATCAGTGAATATTATACTAGAGGGTGTGGACCCCACCCTTACAGTTACCTGCCACAATAACTTTGAAATGGAATTGAAACTGAACTACCTGATATATCTAATGGCAGAGAGAGCACTACTAATCAGCGAGGAAAAGGTAGCTTATTCAATTAATGGGTTGGAATATCAGGATACAAACTTGGAAAACAAAGTTGGGTCCCTACTTCACTCTTCACAGCACATTTTTTCCTGATGAATCATTTTTTTAAAATTTGAAAAATAAAACTTTAAGAAACATTTTAAAAATAAAAGTGATACAGATCTTGCTAATATGACATAGCACCTAGAAGTAATAAAATTAAAATTTTACATGGGATAATCTCATCAAAGGAAAAGCTTAGAAAAAATATTTTCAATCTATATTGTAGGTGAAAAATCTGTTTGCATACTTTATTAAGCTCTCCTATGAAGTGATAGGAAAAATACCAACAGCTGAATGAAAAATATGAACAAAATGTATGAACATCAGTCCCCAGAAAAATCAATGCAATAGCTCTAAAAATATTCACATTCTTAAGAAAACTACAACTTAAAATTAACCTACATGCTATTTTCACCTATAAAGTTGGTAGAGTTGAAAAAGTGTGAAAATACATTCCCATTCATTGATGGAGAGTTGTAAATTAGTAAAACTTTTATGGAAGGAAATTTGACACTGTCAATCAAAATTCCAAATACATGGTCCTTGACCTAGTAATTCTTTCACACTTTATCATTCATACACCTTTAACGTGTTTCAAGTAATATATGTATAAAGTTACTCACTGCTCCATTGTTCATAAGAGCAAAGATAGAAACCTTGATTATCTATCACAATCTATTTTCAAAACAAGACAAATATTTATGTTCAGATATAAAAACACCGCTAAGACAGAGTTAAGTGGAGAAAAGCTAAGTATATAGCATTCTGCGATCTGTGAATAAGAGCTAGTCAGGGATGATGGATGGAGATGGGTAGATTTTCACTTGCATATGTTTAAAATATTCCTGGAAGCTTAGCCAGAAAGCAGTCTGCCTTGGAAACACACCTGATGCCTGGAGGTCAGGTATGGTAGAGAGATAAACTTTCTCTTGTAATGTGTCTTTGTATCTTTGATTTTTTTGTCATGAACATATATTAGCTATTTAAAAGAATTGAATCAAAGTCTATGCCCTACTCAAAACGTTCTTTGCTTCCTCTCTGCTACATTCGCTTATTTCACCTGCTCTTTTGCTGTCCTTGAACATTTATATCACCAATAAAGCCGTGGGCTCCTTCAGGGCCACCGCTACATCTCTATCACATTGGCATTTCCAGCGTTGGTACAGCGGTCTCAATCCTAAAAAGTCATTTTTTAATGTGATGTTTTTTAAGGATGATGAAAATCCTTTTCTTGGAAGGAAGTCTGGCCATAAACAAGGCCCTAAAAACCTTTTCGGACCAATCCTGGGATTCTACCTTGAAATATGTCTTTTAAGAGAAAGAAAGGAGAGACAGAATGAAGCTGAAACTGACTTAAAGAACTGACTGGACTCCAGAACAATGATGCTGGTGAGAATCCCGTGGAAAAAAAGTGACTATGTAAATGCACGGGAAGGAGATGGTTTAAGACGTTGTAGGATTTAAGCAAAAAGTCACACTTGGAGAGAAACTAACGAGCCATCAAGTCCCCATTCTGCTGTTGTCATCCCTGTTTAATGTGTGTGTGTGTGGGGGGGTTACCTAGGGCAGGAGCTGCAATCTCAGTCATTAAGCCCCAAGACACAGGCATATGCTGTAGCTAATTCAGTTGATTTTATCTCAGCACACATTCCCTAAGCACTTCCTAGGGGCAAGGTTGGCATTTTTATTAGCAATAATCTCTGCCTCCTCATGATTACCTAGAGATTTAAGACCACATAATCATCCTCTGTCAGACAGGGGGGTAGGGCAGAGGGAACAAGCTAAGAGGCCTCAAATCCCTCCTAACACTTCTTCCCTGTCAGCAAGGTTAGTCAGCAGTGCTCTGCTGGCTGTGCTCAGACCAGCAGCCTGGGCTGGATAGGGGCTTGGAAGGCTAGGCCTGGGCCCTTGGGACGGCTGATGCAGGCTGATGTTTCTGAGACGGCGTAAGGGCCAGTGAGCAGACTAGGGACCCTGCAACCGCCAGCAGAGTCAAGCAAGCAGTCCACCTTCTGCCTTCATGCTGAAGCAAAGCAACGAGAGGAGACGGTCTTGGAGCTACAGGCGCTGGAGCATTCCCGAGTGTGAGGACGAGTCGCCCACAGGGAGCGGCCCACACGAAAGCAGCCTCTGCTCCACGCGAGCTCGGTCTGGCTCCCAGGCCAGCATCACACCGTGGATGGAGGGCAGCTATAACTACTACATCAAACAGGACGAGGATGGGGAAGAGGAGGAGGACCAAGAGGAGGACCAAGAGGAGGAAGAGCAGAAGGACGACGACCTCACCAAGGAGGACAAGAAGCCAGAGCAGGTCTCCACGACCCAGCCGGAGGAGGGCGGCACTGATACCGCAGCCCAGGTGTCCACGCTGAACGTGAACGTGGGCGGCCACAGCTACCAGCTGGACTACTGCGAGCTGGCCAGCTACCCCAAGACGCGCCTGGGCCGCCTGGCCACCTCCACCAGCCGCAGCCGCCAGCTGGGCCTGTGTGATGACTATGAGGCCCAGACCGACGAGTACTTCTTCGACCGCGACCCGGCCGTGTTCCAGCTCATCTACAACTTCTACACGTCGGGGGTGCTACTGGTGTGCGAGGAGTTGTGCCCGCGCAGCTTCCTGGAGGAGCTGGGCTACTGGGGCGTGCGGCTCAAGTACACCCGCCGCTGCTGCCGCATCTGCTTCGAGGAGCGGCGCGACGAGCTCAGCGAGCAGCTCAAGATCCAGCGCGAGCTGCGCGCCCAGGCGCAGGCCGAGGAGGCCGAGGAACTCTTCCGCGACATGCGCTTCTGCGGCCCGCAGCGCCGCCGCCTCTGGAACCTCATGGAGAAGCCCTTCTCCTCAGTGGCCGCCAAGGCCATGGGGGTGGCCTCCAACCTCTTCGTGCTCGTCTCCGTGGTGGCGCTGGCGCTCAACACGGTGGAGGAGATGCAGCACCAGGCGGAGCAGGGGACGGGTGGCAACCCGCAGCCCATCCTGGAGCACGTGGAGATGCTGTGCATGTCCTTCTTCACCCTGGAGTTCCTGCTGCGCCTCTTCTCCACACCCGACCTGCGACGCTTCGCACGCAGCGCCCTCAACTTGGTGGACCTGGTGGCCATCCTGCCGCTCTACCTGCAGCTGCTGCTCGAGTGCTTCACTAGCGAGGACCAAGGGCATGGCAAGGGCTCACCGCGCGGGCACGACCTGGGGACGGTGGGCCGCGTGGGCAAGGTGGGCCAGGTGCTGCGCATCATGCGCCTCATGCGCATCTTCCGTATCCTCAAGCTGGCGCGCCACTCCACCGGGCTGCGCGCCTTCGGCTTCACGCTGCGCCAGTGCTACCAGCAGGTGGGCTGCCTACTGCTCTTCATCACCATGGGCATCTTTGCCTTCTCTGCCGCCGTCTACTCCGTGGAGCACGACGTGCCTGGCACCAACTTCACCAGCATCCTCCAAGCCTGGTGGTGGGCAGCAGTGAGTACCGCGGCTCCGGCCTTCCTCATCCTCCACCTCATCCCAGCAGAAGCTCTGCTTCTCCCTCCCCTCGGTCCTTTGCCTTCAGCCGCATCTTGTGGTCCCTCGCCTCCCTCGCAGAACACTGCTTCCTCCACCCCAGCACTGCCTTCAGCCAACGAAATGGGGCTCGAGGTTGAGGAGGTGGGAAGACAGAGATACTGTAGCTTAACAAGTAACGAATATTGACTCGGTCCTAAGAGTCCTCAAATCCAAATGTAGTCTTTAAAATGCTCCACGGGCAGGTTTTAAGGTGGATTTACTACTCACGGATGTGAACTGCTTCTTCACCATCATTGTTCATAACCACTTAAGTAAAATATTTTTAAAATTAAAAAAAAAAAACATGGAACACACAGTGTCTTAAATGGTTTATAAATCTTACTTAAGCGTCACATCCGGGTGAGGTGGTTATCACCACTTTTTTTCAACAAAGGACAAATAGGAAGTAGCTTTCATTTTTGAAGGAAGCTGTAGATTTAAGCAGAGGAGGGTGAGATTTGGCTGAACAATGTTGACCTGAACTGAAATCCCACTGCCTCTGCTTATAGTTAAAACCAAATGAAGAAAGAAGCATCTTAAACTGAAACTAGTCCTAACTTCTCTAACGCTCTTTCACAGCCAGATAAGATTGTCTCATTTTGTAGCAAAAGGAAATGTGGTACAAGAGTTGTAGTTTATACACACAGCTAACAGTGGCAGAGCCAAGATTAAAATGCAGATCTACCCAACTCCAAATCCATGCCCTTTTCACTTCAGCACTGTCTCTTTCAAGCTTTGGTTCTTTCCCATGCCTTGCCTAGTTTGTACATTTACTTTATTAGTTACTTTGTTCTCTTTGTATTTGCCTTTTCATAATAATTGATGCCATTTACTTAAATACAGATATTTCTGGTATGCTAGCCATATCCCTGCAAATAAATGCTAACAAGATCTTCTCAGATCAATGAATAAACAGGCACACATGGGAAAGAATTAGATGTGTTCTCTTATTTTTAAAAAGCAGACTGTAATGTCTTTCAAGACATTAAGCAAACATAAAAAGAATGCATCACCACTGGTTATGTTAGAACCCACAGTCTGGTGTGAAATTCTGCAAAGCAAACCAACCCAGGGCTACTAGCAGCATAGTATAGCATGATGGACGATTGAAAGCACCAGGTTCTCATCTCAGATCCGCCAGTAATTAACTGTGGCTCTGAGTATGTGTAAAACCACACTCCCCCATCCCTGCCCTCCATTTCTGCATCTCTAAAAGAGGAGATCAGACAAGCAGAGCTCTACAGGTCAATGAGTGTTCCCTTGAAAGCAGAGACCTTGTATGTACCCCAGGATTTGTGAGCTTTCTTCAGTGCAGGATGACATTGGGCTCTTCTGAATGAGCTAGCTGAGTGGTGCTCTTCTGATCATATTCCAAGCGATGAAAGGTCATCCCCATAGCAGATAAACCATGAGTACAGATGGAGCTCATGGAAGATGATTTGTCCCCAGAAAATGACATTTACTTTGGAGATGACTAAACCAGGAAGGCAAAAAACCAAATCCAAATGTTGATGATATAATAAAAAATTCAAATTTTCATTCATCCAAATATCCTAAAGGGCTAGGCTGTGTAGGCATTGGACCTAGAGAACTTTTTCATATTAGTTTTAACCCACAATATATTTTTAACCTTTTATATATTAGTATAGACCTCTGTATTAGAATTGCATTATTAATTTTGAATTTTTATTTTTAAAGTATTTCCTGAAGTGATCTACTTAAGTTAATGAACTGTGTAATATGCAGTGAAATTTAAGACTTTCAGACTCTTCCCTATTTATGTTAACTGAAATAATTTTACTATAGAACAATATTTTCTATAAACTTAACAACTGAATGGTATTCAACTTTTGTTGTAATCTATAAAATTGTGAAGAGGTGTTTTGTTGTTTTGGTGCCATTATCCTGACAGTATTTTCACAGACCAAATTTTGCACATTTCAATTTTCCCATTTTCCAAACTTGCCCCTTACTAATGACTTTTGTTCATTTGATTCTGGGATTTATACTGGTATAAATCATAATGAATTAGATTATTGATAACTTGTATTATTTTCTAAGTGAATCTATGAACACAATAGGAGTCATTTCTCTTACATATTCTATGACAGCTGTGTTCCCCAGAACTGATATTATTAATCAGTGTGCTTCTGACTGCCTTGCATGGTATACTGGGGATTATTCTTAGCAAGGAGGGAAGAAGACCATGAAGGTGATATAGACAAAATGTCTTAGTGCTTATATGTAGATGCAAAGTAATAGGATATAGAATATTAGACAAATTTCTCATATAACCCAAAAAATCCTTCCATCTTATTCAAGCTTCTGAGCACCTCCAATGTGCCAACTACTATTTAAGTACTAAGGATACAAAATGATAGAAAAAAAGGTAAAGATCTTTCCATCATGGAGCTTATACCATAGTGGAGAAAGACAGATACTAAATAATTTCAGATACTGGTATGTCTTGTGTATGATAATAGCATTCTGATTTGGACGGTAGAACCTCTTTGATGGTATAGTCAGAGAAGCCCTCTTGGGGAACGTGACATTGAGATAAAATTTCAATTATGAGAACAAACTCACCTGAATAGCCATGACTAAATACAGATTAGCATCTGAGAAGTGGAATCCTAAAAATAACTCTGGATCCAGAGGTCTCCGTGTGTTCTCTTGATTATACATCCCCTAATTAAAAAATCTTGAACATGAACCCAGCATAAATGTATATTTATTTATAAATAATTTATAAGCTATTTATTGCCACAGTAGCAGTGTATCAAAAACTACCCCAAAGCTCAGTGGCTTGAAACATCAAGCAATCATTTATTACATGAGTATAAAAGTGAACAGTTTAGTCTCAAGTGGAAGGTTCTTCCCATTTGCTATCACTCATTCTCATGTCTGATGTTCAGGTGGATGACAAACAGAATAAGGGGAGGCGAAGTGTCCCTCACCTTCCAGCAGGCACATGTCTGTGGCGGTGGCAAAGGGGAAGAGGCACAGTCCAGGCCCAATCGCTAAAGCATTATGCTGCTTCTGCTCATATCTGTTCAACCCATTGCAAGTCACATGGCTACACTCAGTTAAGGGATGGGGGAGGTTAGCCACCTATGATAGGAAAAGCACTGTGGAATTAAATGGCAAACAGCTCAACTTCAGGAAGATACAAAAAATTAAGTCCAACAATACAGTCACTTTACTGTGGTACTATGTCATTGCTCAAATACATTGTACTCATCAGAAAACATATACTCACAAACTGACGATTTCAAAATGAAATAAAGAAAAACCTGACTGCTATTCTTCTTGCCCTACTCTAGAGCGATTTCCCTTGTAGAATCTTTACCCCACGTGAGACACAGATTCTTTAATCCATTCTATATATTTTTGTACTTTTTGAATAACCTAAATCTGACTTGCTTGTAATAATCTTCCCTCTTTCTATGCAAGGATCCCTCCTCTGTAACTCTACTCAGGGTTTTAAGAGGAAACAGTCGGTTTCATTATTGTGAAGTCTCCAACCCAAAACAACCCAAAACAAATTCCTCATGGACCTTTTTACCTGCAAATAACCATGCATTGGGATGTGAGAAAGAATCATCTTATTCATCTGTCAGAGGTTAATTGTAAGCCCTAATATAATAGGAAACATGCAAGACACTAGAATCTAGTACATCTGCAATAAATAGCAGTTACAGTATCTGACTAGTTGATATTCTTTATCACATGGAAGCAATAACCTTTGCTTCCAGATTCTTTTTGAGGGGATTGAAACAGAAGTGATTCTTTCTCTACTGGAGGAAGAGAGACTACGAAAGATACAAAAGGGTCAGCTGTTCTCTCATGGGAGAGCTTCTGTGTATGCAGATCAATAGGCCATGCCTGGAGCAGCTCCAGCCATTTGGGAGCTCCCAGGGTTGTGTGGGAGTGGGGAATGCATGGTATAACTCAACAAGAACAATTAGCTGTAACCATTGGCCTCCTGTGTGGGTGTTTTTAAGTAGAAAAGGACAATGGGACTGCCAACAAGCCATTTACTTCGGAGCCTTCCAGAACAAGTTAAAGTTGTAGAAACCAAACAGGAAACTGGCATGAACTCATTACTTCAAAAACTCTCCAAAAAGAATATTTATCTCAAGCTGAGATGCCAGGTAATTGTGCCCCAGAGACCTTGCTCACATCTCTGTTTTCCTAAGGTAGGTTATCATTCCCTTGCAAATAGTTGCCACAAGATCACTGAAATTTATTTTTATTGATTGGTTAGTTGGAAGAGATCCATTTGGAAGGTGAATTAGTCAGGTTACAGTAATGAAAACACAAAGTAAGGTGGGTTTTTGAAATGGAGAAATAGATACATAGGTACTGAAAGTATGAAAGAGCAAAAATAGCAGCAACAGGCCATAGCTATTGGCTTTACTGGGGAGAAGGTTATGTTACCAGAACTTTGGAGTACAGAGTAGGGGGTTGCTACATATAGTCTGCCAAAAAAAATGGAAAAGATAAACTTGTATAACTATTCTAATACTAAATTTATTGGGACACAATGAGATTAATACAAGTTACCTTTGGCTTTTACAATTCCAGAGGTGCTCAAAGTGGTGGCCACTAGCTTCCAGACATTTACTAGTACTATTAACTGCTGCTTGGGTAACCTTGGTCATTGAGATCGCTGCACATGCATTTTCAATTTCTTCTCTAAGGGCCAGCAGCGTAGTGGGTTTTCTGCAATATCCGACCTCCTCTGTGGTCCCCCATACGAAGGTAACACCATCGTTGGAAAAAGCATCATACAATCTTTCTTTCCCTGAGGTGCGTATACATTTTTTTTGGCAGACTCATAAAGAAGCAACCATGAATTTGCTGCTAGGAGTGCTGAAAAATATTTAAGCCATAGCTATATGCTGTTATGGAATGATGATAAAAACCAGAAACAGCAATTGAGACCCTTATGTCCTCATCCCACCATCAAAGTCTCCCAAACGTGCATCTCCTTCTCAGAACATAATCGGAAGACAGCAGATAAGGGAATCAGGAAAAGGTAGTCTGCAGTCTCCCAGCTGCAGAATTACAGAATTATGTCAGCTTGGAATGAGAGACAGCAGGTAACGCCTGGCACAGAAGGTATTAAAGTAACCCTAGTTCTTTCAGAAATAGCACAGGAGTTATAAATGGGGAAAGACTTGTAAGTGAACACTTATGACTTATTTTGTCCGGATTTTGGAATGGTCTCCTTTTAGGTCTTTAAAGTATGCTTTCCCTATTGTCCAATATGACTTCATAGGAACCTGACAGAGCTTATGGGACAGGGAGAGGGACCAACTAAGCAGGGAATGCAGGGGACATCACTGTTGCGTGACCTTCTGTGACTAGATTTAGATCCATTTGTTGCACTTGTTGTTTTATTGTAGCTTGTCCTACCCTCTTCCTCACTGTACCACTTAAAGACTTATACAGGTTAGAACAATAATACATGGATGAGAATTGTTCTCTTCAAGGTGGTCACCTATGACCTAATTCTTACAATGCTTTGCTAATCAAAACGTTCTTTGAATTCCACTGAGGAATGACCTTTGAGCCTGTGACATGTCCATCTTTTTCTTTGTAATGGTTCTAAGTATTTACCTTTTTGAGGTTACACTCAGTATTGCAAAGTAGTCAAAATACACTTGAATTTAAGATTAGTACCTACACTTACCCCTCAAGGTGGGTATGACCATTTGCATCAAGGTCTTGCCAGTGAATCTTTTGTGCAAATTACAGTTCAAAAGAGGATTCCAAAAATATTTTTTGCAAAAACAGTAGCAAGAATAAGTACAGATGTTCCTCATTTAACAACCTACCTGTTTTACGATTGCTTGGACTTACAACCAAGGTATGCTATCTGGACTTATAACCTGTATTTGGACTTAACAGGTATGTGAGTGGCTATAATTTTTACTGATTGTACTGTACAGTACACCACTGTAGTTTTATGTTCTGTTATACATTGCAGTACTGCATGGAAGCCATGCAAATAAAAGCAAAGTCATCATGTTGAATTTCCTTTGACCATTTCTTTGTCCTGAATATTGCAATGTACAAATAGTACTATACACAATTCCTCATTTAGTGACCAGTTCATTTTAAGGACCTAGTTGCAGGAACTGAACTCAGTCGTTAATCGAGGAACACCAGTACAGCCTTTGAAACTGACTCCTTTGAAAGGTAACGTGCATTGAGGCTTATAATAATTTTAGGCAAAAGTCATTCTTTACAACCTCCAATTCTTTGGGAAAGCTAGAAGGTGTATTGATTATCCAAAAATTACTTTTATTCCCTGGGATAATACTTCCTAGATTTATAGATTACTGGGTGCCAAGACGTTATCCATGCATTATTCCTTATGGAAGAACTAAACATCCTTCGTTGGATGAGAAACCCAAATATGGTCATTCTAAGGTTTCAGAGGAAAATTTGATGCCTGTCCTCACAATGTTTGGCAGGTCAGGATTTGCTGATTAGTGGGGGAGTTGCTGGGGAAAGGTCACATTCTGGCTTTTGAGACCCAAAGCTAAGGAAAATATGTTAAGTTGCCAGCAAAATGGTAATTTTCCAGTTTATAAAGTGACTGAGCCAGGAAGTTTTTCTGGATACTAAGATGGACTGCAGATATTTTGGTCACATTTCCAAGCACCACTCCTGCTAATGTGAGAACTAACTCTGTGAGGTCGCTTGGGTCAGATGGGGCCTTCAATATTTAATGCCTGTCTAGGGAGAAATACTTTGGCCTACAAAACGTGGAGAAAAAGTTCCATGAAACCAAGGAAATCTAAGTTCCTTCAAGAGCCAAGGAGCAAGAAAGAGATCATTTACTGAATTAAATTATCCACAGACAACACATAAATTAACTGCACATTTTGAGCAAGTTCACGGAGACCAATCATACACAGCCTCCTAACATAAGAGATCTTTTCTCTAAACTTAGAGATCCAAGATATGCAAAAACATGTAGGCCATATTATGTGCATCAAATATTTACTCTTCTTAAGCCAATTCCCTTTACTTTTGACTTTTCAAAGTTCAAGCAGCCTATGTTGTGCTCATGAGCACACACACGAAGAAGTTGGGGTTAGAGGTAAAACAAAGCCACCATGGGGGTTAGGCAAAAGTTTAAAATAATTGCTTTGTGTTATTTTCCTTCTGCCCTTCCTCCCATCCTCTACTTCCTGGACCCTTTCATGGCTGGTTTCCTGCAAAGCCTCTTTCCCTTGGACTTTGTCAGATGTTTCAGTTTCAAAACTGCCCTTCTTGCCACTCACCTCTACTTCCAAACTTCTAAGCCTTTTGCTGGGAACAGCAGCTGACCAGACGGTTATATGAGGTATGAGTGACAATGTTCATGACAGATGAAAGTCATTGCTCAGCTCACACACCTGGACAGAGATCTGACTCAGGTTCTTTGACTACTGGAGTGCCCAGTGACAACACACACATGCATGCAGGCATTGAGATTCTTCATCGCCTCTCATCACCCTTATGCCTAGAAGTTGGGAGAAGGAGATTCTCTACCAGAGCCCCCAGGCACCCCCTTCCCAGTCAAAGAGCATTTAGCAGAAGTCAGGGAGGAGCCTGTTTCCACAGCCTGTGCATCTAATAACCATAAAATACACAAAGTTCTTTGTAAATGTTGGGTTTTACCTCCCTTCAGCTGCCACCAGCTTTAAGAGAGGGGTCTACTGCATTTGCTTACAGATGTATGCACTAACATTATTGCTCACACACACTATGCCAGGCTCTCCTTCAATTCCTGTATCGATCTCATTGGGTAGGTACTATTCTCCCCACATGTCAAAAGAAATAGAGCCAGAAAGAATTTAGATGACATGCCCAATTCACTCAACTGGGAAGTAGATTCAGACACAGGAAGTCCAATGTGGTGCCTGTTCCCTTAACCTCTTTTCCATCATCCCACCTCCTCCACACTTGCTTGTATTCTCTCACTGTGGGCAAAGGTACCCACTCTCTTAGCATGTCTTTCATCATCGACAGTGCAGTGAGGCCTGATGTCTCTCCTGAGCCACATCTTTCCCTTTTTATGGGCTGGATGGAGCTGTGGTTCTTATCACTGCCTCCAGAATTGCCCAGCTGACTCATTTCTCCATTTCATTCTAATCAATCAACTAGACTTGTACATTCAAACTAATCCTTACATCATCAAAACAAAACAAGTTTATATTTCTAAGCTAAAAGCTACCTTAGTATGGTCAACAGGATGACTTTGTATGATTATTGCCATCTGCTGGAAAGTTGTGACAATGATGCACAAATCCATGGAGCAATGAGCACCCCCTAGAGTTGTGCAAAATATTTACAGTGTAAACAACAGCCTTGCTTAGAGACTTCAAGTAACTTACCCAGTACCTGAAGACCAAAGAAAGCATATGAGGCATTAAAAAAAAAAGTTCCCAGGGGATTTTTTTCCATAATTTTCTCTGGCTACAGTAACTGATAACTAGTTCCATGAGTATCTGCATTTCCAGAAGTTTGTTGACCTAAGTTTCTAATTAGAGGAATTTAAAGCACTATGACAAGAATAATGATACGATTTTCATGAAGAGTGACCATATTTTGGAAGACTTCACTGGCCACAAAGTCCCTTCATACAATAGTGAGAGTGAATTTCTCCAAACATTGGCAATTAAAGCACCTTCATGTAAAAGACTACAGTTGAAGTGTTAACAATTGTCTTCCTTTTAAAGATGAAAGGAGGAAAATGGAAGAGCTTAATGCCTTGTACGTGTCTGGTACTATGTTGAGTGCTTTATATATATTTTTAAATTTAGTCTGCACTAGAATCCTGAGAGTTAGCTGGCGTCCTTTTCTTTGAGATGAAGAAACCAAGGCTTCAAGAATCTGAATGTTTTGTCCTTGGCCTCTCAGCTCAGAAGGGTCAGACTCTGGCCTGAAATCTTGGACTCACAGGGTCTAGGCCCCAGCCCTTCCTAGTACACACATGATCTGGGTCAGCCCTAGGAGGCCCTAACACTAGCCCTAACTTGGAGTCAGGGGAGTTAGGGAAACAAAGACCAATATTTACTGAGCACATTTTATACCAGGAACTCAACATATGTTTTCTTAACTACTCTTTAGAACAACCCTTTATAGTAGCTATTATTTTCCCCATCTTGTATGTAAGAACAGTTATGAGTTATAGTCAGGATTTAAGCCAGTCTTTCAGCTGCACAGCTTGTATTCTTTCCACAACACAGTACCTGCAGGCAGGCTTTCTTGTTCCTCCTTGGGGCAACTGTTACACTTCCCCCACCTGTCACCCCATGCATCTGCAGAAAGACAGAGGACCCTTCCCTGCCCGCTTCTCTCCTTGTCTCCTCCCTCACGGTACTAATAATCCCATCCTGCTTTGCTCCCTAGGTGAGCATCTCCACGGTGGGCTATGGAGACATGTACCCGGAAACACACCTAGGCAGGCTTTTTGCCTTCCTCTGCATTGCTTTTGGGATTATTCTCAATGGGATGCCAATTTCCATCCTCTACAACAAGTTCTCTGATTACTACAGCAAGCTCAAAGCTTATGAGTACACAGCCATACGCAGAGAGAGGGGAAAAGTGAACTTCATGCAGACAGCCAGAAAGAAGATGGTTGAGTGTTTGGCTAGAAGCAATATTCAGCCCATCCCAACCGAAGAGAACTAATACTTCAAAGGACACTTGGCTGGTAGATCCCCTGAACTTCAAGGCTTCATTGCTTCTGCTCCTCCTCCTCCTTCACAATTGGCCCCAAAAGGACATGAAGCAGACATACACCAAAGACATTCAGTTCACAGATCTCTACGTCTAAAAATGCTCATTTTGGTCCAAACTCAAAATGTTTCATATTGCTTTTTAACTATATTTCATGTGAGATTTTCACCAATGATACCAATATTGAAGACAGCTTGAAAAAGAGCAATATCTTGGATTTCTCTGTTAGCTTCTTCTGGCATCTAGCTCAATATATATTTTTGAACTTGAGTTGACTTGAGAAGATTTTCCTTAGTTTACAGAAAAGTCTTAATTTTTCCAAAGAGATGGAGTGTTACAGCAACAGCTACATGAGCTTTGGAGTCAGGTCATCCTCACAGTCAGAATCCCAGATCTACCAACCATATGGTTTGAGGCAAGTCACTTTAACCTGAGCCTCAGTTTCTTCAATTGTAAAATGTAGATAATCACACATACTTTGTGAGTGTGTAGATTGGAGGTATTATTTGTAAATTCTCAATAAATGAGAGTTGTGAAAATTGCTCAAATGGGTACTAATCGATTCTCTAGACCAGTGGTTCTCAACCAAAGGCAATTTTTCTCCCAGTTGGGACATTTGGCAATGCCTAAGAGAAGGTTTTGATTGCTAGTACTATGAAGGAGGATGGGGTGGGGGGCTTCTGGCCTCTAGAGGTAAAGGCCTGGGATGCTGCCAAACATTCTACAGTGCATAGACACCCCCAACAACCACAAATTGGCTAACTCAGAATGTCCATAATGCTGAAGTTGAGAAACTTTGGTCTAGACTTAATATAGCAGCCCCAATTTGACCTACGAGACATGCCCAAGTGTGTTAATTCTCCTCTCCTTTGAAATGAGCCCCACTGTCCTCACTTCTCAGGCTCCCTTTCCCTGACTTTTTCAAAAACAGGGAAAAACCTAAACCTGTCTTTTGAGCAATAATTGCTCTAAGCCCTGCACAAAGGGACTCCACCCTGTGCTATCCTTGGGTTGAGAAACCAGTGCCCAGAGGATGTTTGTCATTTCTCTCTTTCTCTCGCTGCAACTTTTTTTTTTAATTCCTTTCTCCTTCCACAGAGCTATTGGAAATCAAAATCTTGAAATTAAAGGCTTGTCTGAACTGAGCACACAGAGATTGTCCTGCAACTGGAGTTTGCAATGCTGACTAGAGGCAAACCTGTGTCATAAATAAGAGTAATTGTTGCATGTTTTCAAAGATAAGCACTGCAGAGTATATATATAGTGTATAACTTCAGTTAATGTTAAATATGTCCTAAACAAGATACTATGTTATTTTTTATTTAGGAAGAAAGAAGCTTAGAGAAGCCATTTGACTATGTTCACAGAGCCAATGAATGGTGGGACTGAGCTTCAAGCCCAGGCTTGTCTGACCCCCAAGGTTCATCTTGATCCAAGTCTAAACTTGTGGTTCTCCTACTGCATCAGCATCACCACCTATAGGTCTGGTTAGAACAGTGCTGGGCCCTGGCTGGGTCTGGGATTGGCATGAGGACCTGCACTGCTAATAAATTACAGGTGATACTAATGCTACTGGTACCGGGAGCACATTTTTGAGATGACAAAGTGTAAATCACTTCATTCTGCCCTGCCCGTGAAGAGCTGTGATTATGAACCAGGGAGCACCTGGCCAAACTATTGCTCACCACTCTTCCTGTTCCTCTGGAGGGTTCTCACCATCATCGTACATGACCTGGTGTCTGAAGGACAGAGCACTGTAAGGCTGCTGAATAAAACACAGGATGCCAAGGGGTTCTAGCCTGCTATGTGCTGCTACACCAGAGCAAATAATTTATAAAGAACAAAAATCTATTTCTTACAGTTCTGGAAGCTGAGAAGTCTAGGATCAAGGCACTGGTAGGTTCAGTTTTTGGGTGAGGGCCTCTCACCGCTTCCAAGATGGCACCTCACTGTTGCAGCGTCCAGAGGAGAGCACTGTCCCCCGACATGGTGACAGGCAGGCTCCCCAAACCCCGTGCTAAGGCTCCTCTGTTAAGGTCTGATTACTACACTCACAAGGTAGGAGCTTCGTGGCCTAATCATCTCTTAAATACCCCACCTCTTCATACTACCACATTAGCAACACCCACACTTTGGAGACTATTCAAACCACAGTGCCAGGTAAAATTTAATTTCATATAAACACACAATTTTTAAGACAAACACAGCCCATATGCCAGGCATGGTGGTGCATGCCTGTGATCCCTGCCTCAGGAGGCTGAGGCAGGAGGATCATGGTGAGTTCGAGGCCAGCCTGGACTACACAGTGAGACCCTGTCTCAAACACACGCACAGACACACACACACACACACACACACAAGCACAAGCACACACAAAAAATATGGCCCAAATATTGAGTGGCATTACGTTTGCTAAAAAATTGTTGCTTACCCAATTGGCTGTGCATCCTATCTTTTCCTTGGCTAAACCTGGCAATCTTACACTATTGCATTTGAGAGACCACGTTTCCTCCTGGAATGGATGAAAATACCCCCAAGCCCTAAAAATTCCACCTAACAGCAGTTCCCTCAGCAGAGGAAGACTTCACTTCCCTCTTGTCAAAAGGAGGAGGAATGTGGAGTTAGCAAAGATTGTATCCTTGCCATAGACAGCCACGCAAATGCAGTTACAATGTGCAGGGGTCCAGAGCACAGCGTGTATGCTCGACACAGCAGCTGCCCTTCTGTGAGCTTTCAGCCTCTGTGTCCCTTCTGCAGTCTCCAAGGGAGGGCTTTGTTCATCTCCTGGGCTGCTGAGGGGCACAAGGACTAGGAAGAGCAAGGGTTCATCAGTGCCCTCTGCTTGAGGACCAGAGAAAAATGACCCAGACCTGCCCAGCAGAAGAGACTCCATAAGAGCAAGGAGTAGGGACTGGCGGGGAGAGGGTTGGGGGAGGTTTTAAGGACAAAGGTGGAATTTTCCAGACCCAAGTTGAGATCCAGTAAATGGTCACAGGCCTCCTCCTCCTCCTCCCACTCTTGCTGGCTACATCTGCTCAGACAGCTGCTCATGGCCTCCCCAGGGATTAGGACTGATAGAATGGAGTTAGAAAGAGCATTTCAAGAGCTTCACTGTGCACCAGGCACAGAACCAATATTGTTCCATTTAATCTTTCAATTTCCCTATGAACTAGGTTTCAAGGTAGTCGGTCGTGTATAGAGACTCAGCGGCATAGAACTTGGGTATGAATTTTAAACCTGGTTCTGCCACTTCCTCTGATGTTGAGCCATATGAAATTGCCACTTTCATCAAAAACAGCTGAATACTGGCAGTTTCACGTGGTACAACATAATTGTGTGGTTATAATTTTGGTGAACTTCTTAAAATGGAAATGATAGTAGTGTTTCGCCACGATTGTGGTAATGAAATGATATAATGGATGGCCATGTTATATACTAAATGTAACTCAGTGTCATCACCATCACTGTCATCATTTTCATCAGCACTATATGTTTTGGCTGCACAAGGAAATGGTGCAATCCCAGACAGAGTCCCTTGCTACTGGGGAGAGGATTCAGTGGGATGAAGATAGCTCTTGAATCCTATGTCTGGAAGAACTTTTGGGAGTGACTGGAACATTATGCACTGTCTGACACAGTAGCCACCAACCATGTGTAGCCACTGAGCACTTGAAGTGCAGAGAGTGTGATTCAGGAAGGAACTTTTACTCAATTTTAATGGATTTCTTTTAAAATTTGAACAGGTACATGTGGCTGGAAGGTCTTCTATAGGCCTTTCTTCTGCAGTTATGGAGGTGTCAGCTTCTGAGACGTGTTTGTCTTTTTGAGGGGAAGAAGCACAAAGAAAAGAAGAGAAAGGAACAGTCTGCTTGTGCTGGCTGAAACTGGGATGGATTTTCAGGTCAACATGTGCAGAAGTGGAAATTAATGTGGTTGATCTGACTGGTGAGCCAGAATGGCCTGCTTTATTAAACAGTAAAGAAGGCAAAATCCTCCAAAGGATGAGCAACAACAATAGCAAAAAGCTCTGAGTAGACCAGCTCCATTATTCCCAAGGGTCCCACACTTCACCCTGGGCACATCTGGACTCCTCCACTTGTGCCAGCCCATGGTCATATACATCGTCTTAGACTTCTAACCCAAACCAACTAGAAATGCTGCCCTTGTTTTTTAACCTCAGCTCTAAGGGGAAAAAAAGTTAGATGTTCACAAGAAACATTTCCTTAAAATTAAGGGAAAGCATTAGATTATCACTTATTAAAGAGAAAAAGAAAAACATGTTTCCAAAGATTCTGGCTATATAGGAAAGTGGGTTTAAGTTCTGTTGAGCTCCCAATTTCCTTCTCCCAGGCTTACCCTTAGCCCCTAAATCAAGAAGAATGTGGTCCTTATACTCCAGTGATTCCTTCTCTCCCTGTGCTCTGATGTGACATCCCTAAGCCCCATGTGAATTTTGCATTCTGCTTTCTACATCTGGTCTTGTGTGCTTGCCCTTCTTCATTTGTTACTTAGTTTCCCTGCATGGCTGCATTGCCCTAGGAGTCTGTCTCTCCTGTCAGTATCACCCAGGCCCTTAGTGCCCTGGCAGGAAAGCCAAGATACCCAAAGACCCGAGGAGAGACAGTCCGGGTGTTTTCTCCCCACCTTCTCTCTGGCATTGTTTGAGGTGGAGGTTGAGTTCCTATAGCCGTGGTCCAGTTGAGCAGCACTTGTGTTTGGCCACAACACTGACAGACCCTTCGGGGGCCTAGGAGTGGTAGTGGCCTCCCACTGCGGCTAGTCCCTGAATGTCTTCCCATTCCTTGTTGGCTCCTTCATTCTGACCACAACTCTTTATTAAGATCTCTTCAGTTAAATAAATGTATCATCTATTTCCTGATGGGATCGTGATTAACATACTTGTATATTTTAAGAAAAAAACATATTGTTTGTATTCCCCAAATCACCACTAAAAAGATAGTAAGTCTTTATCTGAGAATCATTGCTCCCTACCATATTACCCCAGACTAAGAAAGACTGTCCTCAATTCTAGAGAGTAAGAGGCATCACAGCTCGTAGATGATTGGCAGGTCACTGGTGATTGGCACCTGTAAGTACTAAAATGATTGATCCTTCCGTCAAAGTCTTTCAGCTCTGCCCTCTAGGGAGCAGTTTTTGATTATTCAATCTCTTGAGTTTTCTTACTCAACTCTAGCCCACACATACAAATGGATTTTCATGAGTTATACTGTGCATAAACTCGGTTGGAATATGTACAACTAGGATTCGGTGTCCTCTGAAGACACTGAGAAATCACCTTGGCCAGGCTCCCACCCTCATGCAGAGGAGGTATATGTATTTTTTGTTTTGCAGGTGATATAACTGAAACCCAGGAAATGAAAGAAAATTCCTAGAGGTGTACCCGTTTCCCAGGCTGCCCCCCTTTCCTATGTCCGTAGCAAATATTGTTAATCAGCCACATTACTCTTTCCCATTTCTCGCCACAGCTCTCTAGCCAACAACATGAATCTGTCAAACTTGATTTGCAAGATTTATTTGCCATCTTGGCATATGCTCAGACTTTAAAAATAGGGAAGGACTGAAAGTCTATTGTCTCCTGTTCTTTTTGAAGATTTTTCTATACATCCATAAAAATCTGGGTGGACTATTTTTATGCTATCCTTAATACCTAGTAACTTTTAGTAAGTGAACTTTCCTGAGCCATGGTCTCCACATTAGCTTATGGAGGTAACTGACCTT